CCATGGACATCACTAGGAAGAGATTTTTTAGAAAACTTTGTTGATTTGTAGAATTCTGAACAAGATAGACAGTTAGAGATTTTGATCCAGAAAGAGAATGTGATACATATCTTTTTGTTTTTTTTTCTGAGAATATCTTCTTTTTGTTATGATCATGAAATTCATCATATCGTCGTAGCCACGACTAATATGAGAATTAAATGATGATTCAGCCGTATATGTAACAACGGCACCCGAGAAGTAAAGCATGGAGTCCGAGTTCTGTATCTAAAACTAGGGCTATGTATAAATTTTCTTTAAAGCACGAATAATAAGATATTTGAATATTGTTCGACCTGCTGTTTTAAGTGATGATGATGCGTCCAATCGGTAAAGATGAATTCTCTACCACGGGGTCGTGTTGTCGCACAGCTTGTTCATAGAGACAAGTATAGTATGTGAAAAGGACATAAATGCATTGTAGAAGAGTGAATCAACGGATTCATAACCAACTCGACTTAAGACGTGAAGCCCGATATCTCAATTTGGCAGGTAAAAAAAACTTTATAAAGAACCTCTCATTTCCTACATAAGGAATAACTTTTACTTTTTAGCTTAAGTTTCTTAAGTTTATGATGTCTCTCCAAACACTTAAAAGCTTTTTGACACCTAGTCTCAGTCATCTTTCCGGTCATTCTTCGACCATCTCTTTGGTCACTTCCGACCACTTCCTTCACTAAATACCTTCCTCATCATCTAATTTATCCACTCAAATGTGATTATACCCCATGGACCATTCTTTGTACGATCCAGTGTCACATTTTTTTCACTTCTTTCTCGTTTTCTATATGTTTAATTTATTATCATTTTTTCTGTTTTTTTTTTATTAATTTCTTTCTCTTTTTGTTAACTTGACCATCAGAAAAGTGTTTAAACATATCTTATTATCATGTTTTTCTGACCATCACTTATTCGTTGATTACATATATAATAAGATTTGTAGAATTTGTTCGCTTATTTTTTCCCCTTTTTTCAATCTATTCATCGTATAAAAGATAGTTATATAATGTCTTCTCAATCATCATTATACGAAAAATAATTATAGTAGCGTTTGGCGCTGCCACGTTGATACGTCTATCATTGCCCAACAAATAATTAAGTACGTAGAAATATTTGCATTTATTAGATAGTTTATCTATAAGATTTGTTTGGGCAACTAATCAAATTAATTTACAGTAAGACAGGTAGGAGGTTGTTTTCGTGGTGACGTCAGTCGGTGCACAAATAAATAGCACA